AGTTCTGTCTATGATGAAAATATGAGCCCAAATGGTTGAGGTTTAAATAGTTTTCATCTGGTAGCGGCACTTTTTGAGATCACTGTACATATAACAGGTGGCGCATATTAAATGAACCACTTTTGTAATCAAGTTTTTAATGTCTTATGCAATTGCTTGAAACTACCAAAAAGATTCATTGGATAGAGAATTTAATGCTCTGCAAAGCCTGCTATTTTAAATTTCTATGACTCAGTTAGCTTTGGAACATGATTCAAAATACACATAGAACTGAATTTCAAAACTGCGCCATGCTCTTTCTGTCTTTTATTTAATCGCTAAAGGTTGCCACTTTCTATGATTACATACTCAATGATTATAGATCACATGATAGAAAAACTTGCCTTCTATCGATTCCACTAACTTATAGGTTTACCAGTCTGTCTTAATACTCATGTACATTCATAATTTGTGACTTTCGATTCCTAACTAAACCAGTTTTTCGTGGTTTTGGAAAAACATAGTTTTTTTAGTAGGAGAAAACTGCAGAATTTAATTCTGAACAGGCTGGCAGGACTATAACTCGAAATGCATAGAACTATTATCGGTTTAAAATCAACAAACTGAGGATTGGAAAGAGGGGTCCAAAAATCCGATTTTTTTTCAGTATAGCCCTGAGTTAAATTCGAAATTTCTTCTGGAAAATTTAAATATGAAGTTGCACAAAATGCGTGACTATATGCAGCATTTTCCGGAGAATTTTCTGATAATGTTAAAATTCATAAAAACCTATGATTGACAGAGTGATGAAGTGTTTTCCGAATTTTAAGTAGGTGCAGTTGTGAAATTCCCGTCTGTTCGTATTTTGGATAATTTTCCAAAGATAACTGAGTTATAGAAATGTAAAATAGCAGGTTTTGTAGAGAATTAAATTCTCTATCGAATGATTCTTTTTGGAAATTTCAAACAATTTCATAAGTCATTAAAAAATTAATTACAAAAGTGGCTCATTTAATATGCGCCACCCGTTATATACTTATATATTGTCTGTCTTTTTTTCCTTCGCAAACGATGGATATCCACAGGTATCGATCCACTTTTCTTGAGAAATTCAATTGTTCAATTCTTTGTTTTTCTTTATTCTATTACTTAGTTGGAAACAAGGAAAATATCCTTGACCTTTTCTTCGTTCTTTATATTTCGCCGATATTGCGTAGTTAAGGCAGAAAAGTTATGTAATAAAAGTTTGTCTTATTTTTCTTTATTTTTTGATGGATATAATCCAAGTCCTCTACATGACGATTTAACATACAATGTACTTGCTACGGATTTTTATGCTATATCGACGAAGAGAAAATGGTGAAATAGAACAGAAAATAAATGATACATAGTTTCTCGTTGTATCAAACTTTTTAAATACTCTGAAAGAACTTTCAACTGAAAAAATATTAACACGACTTTTGCTTCCGAAATATATCCAGATATATGACCCGATCCTATCCGACCCGAGTCGAACACTGGTGGGCAATATGGTTCAACAGAGTTTGACATTTTTGCATCGCATGTTAAGAGTCCCAAGACCAATTTTTGACCCTTTGTCTCTACATAAAAAGGAAGAAATTAAGAAAATGGCTCTGTGATGCCCTACAACCGATGATACTCTTTCAACCCAGAGAAATACTAAACGGTTCCCATGAACTCCCACAGAGAATTCATGAGAGCAATTTCGCGTTTTTCTTGGTTGAAAAAGCATCATTGGTTGCAGCGCATCACAGAATCCTTTTCTTAAGTACTTCCTTTTTATGTGGAGAAAAAGTGTGAGTATCTTTTGAGTAACTTTTGATAGAAACTAGATGGAGAGCTGCGGTTTTCACAGTTTGAAAGAGGCAATGAAACTGCATCGAATTGTATATGACAGAGTTTTCTTAGGGTTCATCGGCAAAGTTTTTAAAAAATCGAAGCTTTTTCGAGGTCGAAAAACGAATTTTTTTATCAAAAAATAAGGAAAAAACCCAATTTTTTGTGAAAAGTCGGCCTATGACACACAGTAAAATGTCTGTAACTCATGATTAGTGAAAGAGAATGATGTTGGGCTTTCATAACTGATAGATCTTTAGTGGGAGATTCTACTGCACTCCTGAAAATTAGAATCCCAAAATTTTTACATTAGGCAATGTTTTGTTTTTTGGAAACTTGTCGGAAAATCCTGGAAAAACTTGTCAGAAAAATCTGGTATATACGATTCGATGTGGTTTCATCATCTCTTTCAAACGGTGAAAACCGCAGCTCTCTATCTAGTTTCTATCAAAAATTATTCAAAAACTACCCAAACTTTTTCTTTTTTTGAAATAGATATTAGTTAGTATGTTCAGTTTTCACCGGCAAAAGCTTATCTGGAAAACAAAGTCAGTAGTTTTGAAGAACGAAAGATTCTCTACCAAATGAGCTAAGGATAGGCTCATTGAAATGCGCTTCTGATTTTCAAAAACAGAAAAGTAAAGTGCCTCTTTCTTTATATTAGATTACGCCTTATTAACGATCAGAAAAGCACGTCAGTGTTGTAATATACAAATTCTCATTGAAAATAGAAACAGTATTGATAGGATTTCAGAGTACTGAAAATGATCAGAAGTTATGAGAAATCACTACAAATCAACGGAATTAAAGAATTTCGTAGAAATGGAAATCAATTTGTTCCTTCTTTAGGTTATATGACACATCCATCATAAAAAGTCATACTGATTATCTTGTATATACTTGCTCGATATGATCAGTCTCTGAGTAGATCAAGAGTTATTATAGTTTTATATTAATAACGTAGAAATTGTTGTATTGTATTGACTTATATTTGATTATAAATTCTTAGGATTAAAATGTCATCAATCTCGGTGGATATTCCAACTTTAAAAATCAACCAGAAAAATCTGCAGAACTTTATCAGTTTTATTTATAAACATGAAGAACTTTTGAAGAAATTCGGTGCAATTAAAATACAACTGAATACCGATTGTAAACTAGCTTTGAAGAAACGACGAAAAAATATTGTGTCATGTCCAACCATAGAACAGATTGTTAAAAGGAGTAAAGATGAATCTGTTTACTTCGTACAAAAGTTTAATGATATTGATGGATCCACTCAACAAAGTTCATTGGTAACAGATGAATGTAGTTTTTGGTCCTCATTATCTCATTCCAACAACGAGCGACGACGGATAAACATTTCAATGATACCTGGCAAGAGTTTCTTCTCTCAAAAAACATCTCGTTTATATTTTGACATTAGCCGGCTGCCTACTCAATCACTTCTCAAATTATGTGGTAAGAAAGTGACGCATCAATTTGTTCCATGTGTGACAAGGGCACATGGACCAGGCGCTATTTTTCCGTTGACTTCTGCTCAACAGCGTCTCTTTTCAGTTAACTACCATCACGAAGGTGGTGCTCATCATTGGTACATTATTCCAACTTGTGAGCGAGAAGTTTTACGAAAAATAATTGATCACCAAAACACCTCTATTTGTTTTGACCATGGACAATTACTCATCGATCCTTCGGTACTAGACAAAAATGATATCCGTTACTATCGAATCATTCAACGTCCAAACGAGTTCATAGTTTTATCAGCTGGTACTCTGGCACAAAGTTTCACAGAAGATGCCAGCTGGAGCGAGTCAATCGCTTTTGCTTTACCTGGTTGGATTGAAGAAGGTCGTGCAAATCTTTCTATTCCACCGTGTCAGTGCAATTTTCCTCAAGATTCTTTACCAGAAACAATTGATATTACTCTATTTACACATGAACGTATACAAGAATACATTACATCGCATCTCAATATTATTACTAATGATAAACCACTAGCTTTGAAAGGTTCACAATTATGTTTATAAATAGTCTTTCTCAGCATCCTATACTATTTTAGATTACCATGATATAGATATGGTTACCATACCAACACCAAATAGTACTGGAATCAATAGATTGAACGGTATCTTGTTTTTTTAATCATCTTGCATGGCTAACTAAGCTTAAACTAAGTTGGAAAATTGGCATTAACTCAGATTCATTTTTTGGTGTTGTCGGAAAGAATTGTCTCGGATTGTAATAGTTATCATTATTTACACGTTCACTTGCAGATATAACAAATCTGGTAGAAAATGTGTTGTCTCTTCGACTAGTATCATATTAATATATTCTAGAGACGTACAGTGGGATACACCTGTCAGTACTGAAATGAGGGTCTTGACCAGTATCGAATTAATTAACAAACATTCTTTAATGGTGAATTGTGTCATATCTCGGATGCATATAGTAAAGTACAAGACAGAAGAAGATGTAATAATCCCTTCTAATATGGTTACAAGACGTTCACTATCTAAACAACAGAATTAAACATTTGCAGACTGCGCCCGAATGTATACGGTTTTGAAACGTGACGAAGGAAAAAAGCTCTTAGATGCACTAAAACTGGTTTTTTTCGTACGATTTTTTCTTGGCAATAAACTTGGTATATAAATAGACGTTATGGAATAGTTTAAGTATATATATATTTAGCCCCGCGTAGTCCTTCATTGTACATCCTAGATCATCTATCTTGAGGCACTATTATTGGTTAGTGTGGAGTCCATGATTGCATTTATAGTCTTAGAACCATATAGACACATTATATACATTGGGTATTTTTATTATAAATAAAAAAGAGTTTGGCAAAATAAAATTCTAAAGCATACGATAGCTGTTTAAGTTATTATAACTATAATCTTATAATGTACTGAAAAGCTCCTCAGAAATTTTGGGTTGTATGTGCACACACAAATCGAAGACCTAGGAAAAGGACTGATTCATGCTATATGTGTAAAGATTGTGATGTAGGTCTTTGTGTTATTGATTGTTTTGAAGAATTTCATACTTTATTACATTTTTAGTTTTTTTTGTTGTGACTTCCCTTCTTATATATTATTAAATTTGTTTGTTATTTTTCTCGGATACGTGTTTTGTTTCTCCTGTTTCAGAATAAACACTGTACGTCTTTTGGACTAGGTCTGGATGAGAAAATTATGTAAATAGTTTTCAACTATATTTGATTTTGTAGGTGAAAATCAAGATATTTGTCTGTAAAAAAAAAGTCGATCCTCAAAGAGTTAAAAATATTGATTGATAACAGTAAGACATATGTGATATTATCGGTAATACATTTTTATCAAAAGTCTAAAATAAGGCTGGCTTTTCTTTTACTTACGTATCACTTGGAATCCACTGAGGATGATGCAGTAAGCAGAAAGACAGCTCAAAGAATATAGGAGATGATATGAAATCAAGTGAATATAATGAAAGAAAGAAAAAAAGTCTTGAGGGCGAGAAATGCAAAGAACAAGAGAGAGAAATGAAGAAATAATAAGAAAATAATTTGTGAATATCAACAACATGTCTCTTAGAATCTCAATTGGTAAACAGATAATATATGAAAGGTCTTAAAATGTATCATTCATCTCACTATATAACTTTCCTTCCCTTTCTTTTAGGGAAGGACCGTGAAAGTGCCACTCCTAATTGGATGCATGTTGATCATGAAGTCGCTTGATGAAGAGATGATCCTTCCCTAGCGTACTTACATCCTCAGTCTCAAGGCGAAAAGACAACTATTTCAGAGTAGGGATAAGGTTGCATGAGTGTAAAGATATACCATTTTCTATTCTTTGCGTTGCTTGGACTTGGTTAGGATTGGAATTGGCCTTGGTCGAAAATGGTATGAAATCGACTGAAGTTGATCTGGAACAGGCCGAGAATGACATGGGGTAAGTGAGGGTGAGATGTGGGTGGGCGAGTATAGCTAGCATAAGCAAAAGGATAGGAAGATTTTGTCCGCTCTCATCGATTCTGACCGACATATCCCCATCCATTCTTACCCTCATCTCCTCAACCTCCCCCACCCAATATCATTCTCGATCCGTTCCATACCAACTCTAATCAATTCAACCAATTCTGGTGGGCCAATGTGAGACACGTCTCTTCGCCAACACAATGTCACCCGCTACCACGCACCCAACCTCACTACCAAACCAACGCAATCATTCACCCTCACCCTCCTGATAGCCAAAAAGACAATATGCATAACGAGAAGTCATAAAAAAACAGATGAAAATGGATTATTGGTGCCATCTTTACTTCAGTTTTTATTTAGGTAAATAGAATCTTTACTTATTTACTAGTAAAGAAAGGTAATGTGCCTTCCCTAGAACGTTCTCTCTTCTATTCGAAACGGACGCACTTAATTCTGGTTTATCATTGCAATTAGAGTACCATATGTTTAGTCTAGATTAATTTTTAATCAAACAGGAATAATAAAAAGCAAGAGCATTTAAATGTGACGGGATGGGTTGTCAGCCTAAAAGTATGTGATTTCAACACTTTTGTCCCATAAAGTACTCAGCTGCTAAACTTCTTTTCTTACCGATTAATATCATATTAGAACCGTAGTGAGAAATGCTGTCGATTACTAAGAAATGATTTGTTTTCTTTTAATTATCTTAACTAATATAACGAAAAACAGCTCTTGATTAACGATGATCGTCTATATTTATTCGATTATTATTAAGTGAAGAAATTTGTAAATTTTGATTGACTTCACAAGTATACATGTAATTATTCAAATTCAGCTGAAACTCTATATAGACATTAATCAAACTATGCTATCTTTCCAAATTCTCACTAGTACAGTTTGTAAAATAATTTTATCATATATATGAAGATAAGTCAGAGAAAAATGCTGCAACGTAGATCTGGAGTAAACATAAAATTTCTTATGTAAATTAGTGAGATGTGCTAGGGTTTTCATTGTTTCATATGAGTACAACTATTAGCCTTTGGAGCGTTCCGGAAAAACAGAGAATTTTAAGCATTTTTCACAATTATTATAGTTCTAATCGTTAACTTAATGATAGAAGGCATGAGAAATGGCTGACTTTATATTCAAGAAGAAAGTAAAGAACAGAATTAAGAACCTATCTTTATTCTTCGTTCATTATGTTATAGAGTATGTTATTTACATAAAATGTTTTCAAGCAGTCTTATCCAATATTGACAAATATAAAATTTAAAATAGTTTGACATCATATGTTACTGTTCCATAAGTACATGTTCTCATTAAGTAAACATTCATTGAAAAAAACTAGAGAGATTGTCTGAGCAGATTTGCTGAAAGCAGATCTAACTCACGTTCATCTGTCAAAAAGATTATATAGACTTCATTATAGCTTAATCAATGTTCAAGTTAAATTTAATTTAAGATGATCTAAAGAATTTGATAATTTATTAGAAATTATTATCAAAATCTTATAGAAAAACCGAAAGGAAATATTTCGAAGTATGATGCCCAATACATGAGGAAGGAGAATCGAGAAAAATGTCGCGAATGAGGGCATAATACACTAAACGAAAAAGAAATAGAAGATTATTAGCTAAAATGTCTGCATGAAAAAGATAAATGATCAAGGAATAAAAAGAAATATTTTGGGATTATTTCTGTCAAAATTTTAGCTTGTCGATACTTTGTTTTTTCCGAGATTTTATTTCTTCGCGAATGGTGTCTTTCGAAATTTTGATACCATCACTTAAGTAGTGGTTCTGACAAGTTCCGGCTAAAATGATGATAAAGTATAATTTTGCTTGTGACACATAATGGTTTATGAATATGTAATGAATTTGTGACTTTTTTTACTATACTTGATTTTATTATGATTCAATTGATTCTCAATGTTAATTTAGCTGAAACCATATTGCCGACAAATGTGAAACACATCATACCACTGCAATCAACTGTGCCACCTTTTCAATCACCAGCAACTTCGTTATTAACACCGCCTGTCAGTCACTACTTTTGTGAAGACAACAAAAAGGAATTTGATGATAACAATGTTCAGCCACAATATAAAATATTGGAGTGAGTGAAACACACTAGAATAACTTACCTTTAGAATAATCAGAGTACAAAGTAGTTCTCGATGGAAAACCTTTTTTTATAGAAACTATGAAAAAAACAGCAAACATTAACACGTCGGAAGTCCTTCAACGATTGTCAAAAACTTCTAGAGATTTCACGAGTAGAAACGACACTTTACTTATACTGTACTAGTTACTAAATAAATAAGACATTTACTATTGATTTTTGTAAAGTATATGAAACATTCATTCTTTAATAGTGATACTTGAATATTATAATTACCTGTTGCTTGGAGAAAAGTGAATTACATATCCAATAACTCCGACAGTTCTGCTGTCTAACGAGGAAACCGTTCGAATTGATTCAGTACTTTTGGCTCCAGATTTGCCCATAAGTAGGAGACTTGTAGACTAGAGAAAGCCTAAGAGAATATGGATCCATGTTGGGATTGAGCTGAGATATGAATGGTCCAAAATATTCATGTCTATTCCAGTACGTATGCAAAAGTGCTTGTTTTTTTAAATGTTTATATATCGGCAATGCTATGTTCAAGAGTTCTGAAATTTTCATGCAAACTACGCTCTAAAAAATAGATTCATTACTGAACCTTAAAAGTTTCTTATTCGCATACAAAATGTTTTTTATGTATTTGGACTTTCACCCCACCCCTCACTCAACCATCTCTCTCCCTCTCTTGCCCTCATTGTGCGCTCCTCCTGTCCCTCTCTCCATCTCTCACCCTCATCCTCAAGATTAGTTGAATGCTCGAAGAGTAGAATATTCGAAATATTTATTCGAGTTCTGCTAGTATGGATTGGACATGCAAAGTTTTCAGCAATACTTGTTTAGCTTAGGCTAGGAGGATGACATCTTTTTGTAAAGTAGACTAGATCTGATCAATATTGACGACGTTTGAAACTGAACATGACATATATTATCTACATTTTTGGC